AGAAGAGAGAGAAACCTATTTCCGAGTGGAAACATATGGTACAAAGCATTGTAAACTTGTATCAAGGCCATCATATCATGTAATGCCTCCATCCGACCGGGGTATAGGGTTTTATGTACTATTGATAACCATTCATGATTCCAAGTTCAGTTTATGATGGAATAAGGATTTTCTTTATTATTCATATTTCTATTAAGCTTAAAAATTTGGTTATTAAAATTTCTTGAATCGAAATCAGAATAGAATAGAAAAACTAAATACAATCATAAATTGAACTTGGGTCCCTAGGGGGTTGGCATTCCCACATATCATCCGATACATGGGCAAAATAGTCCCTACAGGATTTAAATAACTTGGTACTCCTCGTCAGCACTATGCGCCATATATGTCAAGCACGAAAAACTGGGTTCCCCTGAATCCGACTGACGTGTCCAGCACATACTCTATGCATATGTATCTGATCCCTCAACAAAGCCAAAGTGGAGGACACGGTGGTAGCTGAGCTCGTGCTGGTGAAGTATCATAGTATTTAGGCTTACCAGACAAGAGCGGGATTCCCGATGAGATTTTCATGACCTGGTTCCTACTTTGCAGGATTTGATTTTCTAGAACTACTCCCAGTAGGTAAAATAAGCTAGTGTCATGTTTGTTGCGGGAGATGTTGTGTTGTTGGACACTTGGGGTGCAATTGTCTTCGGGGTTGCCTCCATTTCTGGAGCTGGTTGAGTCCTGTTTTGCATATTTAATATCTATATATTCAGACTTTCACATCCTAGCAGATCTGGGAACATGATGCAAGATAATTGTTCAATTCCGGTAGCCGCATATCGTCTAGGTTTGTATTACTCCCCCTAGTGGTAATGGTGTCAGGGATCCATAAGTCATAGCCAAGTTGGTAGCGGAGATGGTGGGCGAGGTAGCATGCCCCCAGTGCAGCAGGAAAATATTCTATCTGAAGTTGATGAATTGGATAGCTAGGAACATATAGGTCGGGAGGCAAAACAGTGTCCTGTTTCTCTCCCTGGTCATCAGGAAAGGAGTTAGTTTTAACAAAATGTGCAGTGGAATCTGGTGGTATACGGGCGAACCTTTTTCTGCAGAACACGAAAAAACTCAAGATTTGACTTATAAGATAAAGAACTGGCAACTTGCTATGATACCTCAACAGAGGTGGGTCACAGTGGCGCTTAAGTACAAAAACAATTACAACTCTCTCAGGAGTCTCTGACCTATTACCACCACTTGACACGCCACCTTGCTTTTGTTTCTTCACCAGTGCTCCTCGCCATCTAGGCTTCTTCCCCTTGCCCTTATCACCAGTCTTCTGGTCTTCTTTGCCACGCTGCCTTCGCCGATGTTCTCTAATATTCTCTCCGATATCTTTTTCACTGCTGTTCAGCGCTCTTCTTTCCCATCATTTATTCACCGCTATTGTGCGCACATATTTCCACTCTTCCACAACTGCTACCCCAATTTTTCTTGTCCACCATTACACAGTTCCTGACCAACAAAATACACTTCCTGCAGAAAAGAAATAACCATAGGACAAACTCCAGAGACTTGCTCTGGGGTAACAACCGGTGATCGACAATAAGGGTGATTGTGAAAGGTAATTCCAGAGAAAGATTACAAGAGAATACGGGTACGGTGATACCATCGGTGCTAAGCTAGCGTCTCGTATACAGTCTCCGGGTGCAGGAACTAGAGGGGCCATCCCTTTACCTGTAGAATATTGCGAGTGTTTCTCAGGCTGGTAATCTTATTATCTAAGTAGCTTCAGTGATGGTGAAGGGAAAACACCCTTAAAACTATTGTAAATTTTACGGAATTGTTTACTTTCTGTGACCTATGGGAGAGATACTTCGATTTCTTGTCGTTACTGAAATCAACTTGTCATTGCTGCTATCTACCACACTCCGCTGCGTTTCACGCAATCCTATCTCCTCGTGATATCGCAGATGACCTTCCAACCCCCACCACTTGCTCCTTCTCTGTGCTTCTCTTAACTTCCCTTTACCCCTCCTCAATCAACCAACCTGATTCCTTCTTCCAACCACATGCTCCAAAACCCCTCTCTCTCTCTGGCTAAACATCCTGTATTGTACAGGGATACACAAAACCCTCCAGAACATTCCGTTCCCCATATAAATCAGATACTCATAGGCCTTACAAATAGGAAATCAATATAAGACGGCCTCCGGAAGCTTCTGGCATACCCGTAATAAATAGATGTGGTCTAGGCTATCATGTACTAGTAGAGTACCGGTGATTTTCAATAAAAACTGGACATCCTTTGTAGGAAAACATGCCATGTTGATTGGATTGGCGATCAAGATCGAACGCCCACCACTTTGCTCAAAAGTGAAGAGGGTCAACCACCCAACACCATAAACTCCACATATCCTACCCCAAACTCCAAAGTTACCCCTAGTAAATATACACCGGTTGTGATTCTGCGTGGTGGCTTTCTCATATGAGTTGCTAGTCTGATCTCAAGCTGCTCACTAGAATCCCCAAAACGACGGACCATTAGGCCAAACTCAGGTCAGACATGGCGCGGACTGCGATGGAGGTTGTCCCTAGGGCCAGGGTGAGTGCACCGGGCGTCCGGGAGCCGTAAGAGAGGGCAGAGCTAAGGCTGAGCGGACTGGGAAAAACAAGTGGTGTGTTTCCTTCAGCTGTGAGATTTGCGCGGCAAACTGTGGCCTTTCGCTGCGATAGGGGGTGCCTACCTCTTAAGCCTGGGAAACGCCTGTGCGTGGGGAAAGAGCTCAGTGGAAGGGGATCACAATCCCCGGGTAGGGGCAATATGGTTTGTATAAGGGTGTAGGGACAACAATATACAGTGGGCTGAGGGCGGGCTAAAAAACAGCATGGTTTTTGAAGGTGTCCTGTCGGTTTATAAATTGGACTCCATGGATATTGGGGATCACAAATTCTAGGCCTATTGAGCATGAAGATGTATCAAATACCCCGTACCCGACACTATGACTATAATCCGTTTGGGGTGATAGGTGCAAGCAGAAACATGAAAGCACATCTAGGGTGCCCCGGGGTTTCCCAAATGGTAAAAATGCAAAACACAAGTTGCATCCTCCTACTGTAGTTATCACAAGTTAGCATAATCTGAAGAAATCAGAGCAAGGCAGTGCGTCTGGGAAAGTGAGGTATACCAGGACTTACCTTGTTTAGGCAATGACAATTGAATTGCGAACGCTATGCTGGTTTAGTGAATGAGGTATATCTGAGACTCCTTAATCCCACGAAGGTGCTGGAGAGATTTCTCATTGTCTTGTCGGACCCGCGGGGGTGATCTTGGAGGCCCTCAACTGCCTTGTCCAACCTGATTCTAAGTGCGGAGTAAATTCGCTGGAGTGTGTGAACTCTGGTTGGCGCTGTAGGTATAGCCAGGGTTTATCTGGATCTTTGGTGGTAGGAGTTGGTTAAGAATGTGTGAAAGCCAAAGGAGACTGCACTCAGCAGGTGGAGTGTAGATATTGGGCAAGTGTCGCGATCCTCCAGGGTCTCTACACACAACCCAGGGACACCGGATCCTATTGCCAGCGAACGGACAGTGTCCGCGGAATGTGTTAATCCTGCCCTCCAGTTCTGACCGGATCGTCGCACACTGTGGGCCGGATGCTCCATCGATTCCTTTGAACCCGCGACTTGTAAGTTAACAATCGATTTCGAAGTTGCATTGGAAGGTTGTGATCTTGGCAGATGGGTTAGGCAGCGGAGGGTGAGGCTTAACCGGTGTTTGAGCGGCCAAACTGGAGAAAAATAACCAAGCGCTAGCAAGAGTCCCCACTACTGTACTCGCGGTGCTTCCAAGAACTTGGGTAATTAAATTATCCTTGCTCGGAGCCAAAGTCTTTCACTGTTGTGATCATTCCTTAGTACCGATTCCTGCCCTGGGTTACTGTCGCGTCCTACGCCCGCCCTTGCGTCACTCATTCGTGCAAATTGTGGGACAGTGTCGCCCAGTAGACGAGGTAACCTTTCAGCCACTTTCGACTCTAGCGACCACTATAACTGCAGGGCAGCCCAAAGTTTCACATTTCATGTCCCACACTCTCTGTGGGGGCGTGGTACCTAATTGTATTACCCTCCTTTGCTTGAGTATAACTGCAAATGTAAAGAAAGTTTACATCATGTGGAGGGGTGTTGCAGATTTTGATAAAGGTTCTGCTTGATGCATCCCCCCGCCACTCCTACCACCCCACCAGCCGAGGGGTAGATGGTGTTTATACCGACGTACTCTAATTCCGCCAGTGGGCTTCTGAGAGCATCAAAAATCTAAAACATGAGGACCTCCCCTAAAGACTTGCGGTCGCTTGTGGCCCTCTGCGCTCACATAGAAAAAACTCGACTCAACAATTCTAACAATTTACCAGTAGACGTTAATCCTCAAACGCAATTGCATCCTAATAGGGGTAGACCCTCCCTATACAGATGTGAAGAGAACGAGAGAGATATGGACAGGACCAAGCGAAAACATGAAAGAAATTGGCATCCAGAAAATGTGCCTCTTGACGCAAGATAGATGAAAATTTATCTAAAAAGTGACCATTTTAACTGCTTGTCCGCCGGAAGATGCGAAAATCTAGCCCTAGACAGACCCTTTCGAAAACAAGGGAAAACTGAACAATAAAGAGAGGGGTTTGTATAAGCGTACTAGATTGTGTAATACTCAATGGGGGTAGTGGATGGTCCGGACGAAAGGCACAGGTGGGGCACAGAGCTGGGAAGAGGAGAGACTTAGTCTGTGGGGAGACAGGTTTTTTTCTATTGAAAGTTAGACTTATTAAATAGAGAGTGGGAGGACCATCCCCAGAACGGTGTACAAACCAAATATCTTAAGCTCCCATATGGGCGAAAGGGGCCCAGGTAAGAAAATCCCGAGGATTCTTGTCATGACAGTCCTTCACAGCTTGATGGAAGGCGGCAGAGACCCGTAGGTCCCCGCCGGTGTGCTCTCGGTTTTGAAAAAGGAAGGTGTAGAAGTCTCTTGCCACTTCACTAGAAGCCTGGTCATCTGTTTCCCACCAGTTTGCAAGTGTATGGCTGAATCCCGCAAGCTGGAATGCGCTAGCGAGATGTATGACCCCGTCCGCTAATTTAGCAGAAGGGTTTTTAGCGGCGGAGCAGGCCGAGAGATAGGCGATCTGTGCGTTCTGTGCAGCCATAGTGGATATATCTTGAGCCATCAGTTTATCCGCGGCATCTCCCTCTGGAGCAAATAGAATCAGGTGGCTGTCGGAAGGGTTGATGTCCCACATTCCGTGACAGGCGAAATGGACAATTTCATGGCTCTGGGCCTGATGGAGGACTTTGGCTGGGGTTGGGCGGTTCAGTACTTTGGCCTTAACTGAACTTTTGGCAGCTGAATCAGATATATATTGAACTTCTCTGTTGACACCCGGTAGAGGCAGCTGGCCCGGTGTTTTCGGCATGAGAATAGGAAGTAAGGATGGATTCCGTTGGGTGAGAATTCTGGATTTCTTAGAGCGATCCCCGGAGAAGAAGGCACTAGGTTCATCAAATAAGTGGAGTTGTGTCTGACGCGGGTAGCTTACGGCTTTGATTGTAGGGGTATAGGTGGACATCGCTCGGCTTAAAGTATTACGGGTTGACCCTCGCGAATGGTCCCTGGCCGCAGGAAAAGGTGCCATGCTCAATTGGCCTACCCCAATCCACCAAATCCGCTTCAAAGTAGTGTTAGAAACGCCCTTACCCGTAATGGTCGCGCTGTGCTCAAGGTCGTCAAAAACTGGTCCAACACCCGCATTTCATAGCCAAATTACGAGGTCTTTCATTTTCCTATTGTCCTGACCTTGTTTAATCAAACCCCCTCCCCCGAAACTAGCCAATTGCGTCATCCAGTGGCGTGTTTCACTATATGTCAATTTTGGAAGTTCCAACGAGGTTATAGCTACGCTAGTGACAATGATGGCGTCGCTCCCATAAAGGGTGCAGTTGAAGACAATAATAGGGCCATTGTTTGCCATGTTCATCAGAGACTGAGGGGGGGGTGGAAGTAGGAACCCTCCGTAGGCAGGAAACGTCCGGATGCGATTTAGAATCATTTCCATCTCATTGACAGCCTCCCAGCGTCTATATACAGCACGATCCCATGTTTCCCCTCCTACGGAGTTGGTCACCTCCGGTGGCAATTCAATCTCAGCTCGGAGGCGATGAGATTGGGCGTACTCATGCAGATGATCAGTTTCTAGATCAAAAACTTCGGACCTTGAGTCGATTGTAAAGCCCGTAATTATCCCGCGGCCAAGCTCCAATAGCTTAAGGCTGTCATATGCCGCTCTCCCAGCCCGAAGTGACGTAGAAGCAGCGCTTGGTGCTACCCCGAAAAGTTCTAAAAGTGTGTACTGTTGGTCGTCCCGCTTCAAGAATCGTAGATTTTTTATAAAATATGACCGAGTTGAATCTTTCTGCGCACTTGGAAGCTGTTTGTCCGTTCGGTATTGCGATCTCGATTGTCCTGCCTTACTTTCTCTTCATAGAGAAGTCTGCGCCCTTATATACATCCAGGAACTTCCTTCATTTCTCACCTCAACCTCCCCTGGTTCCCATCACTTCATATCGTGTGATCAGCCATACCCCGCTTTCCCATTCTTTTTTCTTCTCTCAGTTTCTCCCATCATCGCATTTAACCAGTGGTTCCTCCAATCAACGATTCCTCTTCTACCATGTGCCCCATGACTTGACTTTACTTCCAATCGTCCCTTTCTCTACATTTATCCATAACATGCCCCAGAACATTCCACCTCTCTTATAAATCCAAGTATAAACATGACAAATGAAAGAGCGAAGATTCTAGTGCCTCCGGACAAGGTTCCGGTGATTCTCTTAACTTTGCCGAGGTGTGAGGTTGGTCTGGTGATTAATTGGAGTGCCGGTGATTTACGACAAGATTGACACTGGGCATCAAGTTGACAGCATCCCTGAATGTAGAACTTGATTCTTGCAATCTCCTGTTTAGATATAGTATGGAAGCTTGGATATGAGCCGCCCTGATCCGCTCGCGTGGGGGGGAGATTGGGGAATGTGAAGCCTCGTGATGTAGGCGGAGACTTTCGTTTAAATCCCCTATGGAGTCCATGAGCCGGGACCGTGACCACAAGTGTCCAGCCAGGGCATCGCAAAGCCTAGCTCTGCTAGGAGGGTCTGAGGGGGTGGGAGCTAGTGCATGTTCGCTATGACTAATGGCTTTTCGAAGGTCATCGGGTTCTCCAAGACCCTCAAACCTCTCAAACAATTAGTTTCCGAAGCTGTAATGTATAGTGGCTCTTGAGGGATGGTCTTTAGGGGTAGCTGCTAATGCATAGTCACAGTGCTCAATGCCTTTTTGGAGGTCACCAAGATCTCTTGTCCGTTTAAAATTCATACAGAACTTGGCTCCCAGGTTCTGGTGGATCGTGGCGGCTCGGGGGTGATCTTGGGGTGTCGCACCTAGTGCATCTTCGCCGTGCTTAATGGCTTCGTGAAGGTCCTCGGGATCGCCTATCCCCTCAAACCTCACCAGTAACATGCTTCCCAAGTTAGCGCGGAGGGTTGCTTTACTGGGGCAATCCTGAGGTGTAGCCATAAGTGCCACTTCGGTATGCAAGATCGCGTTCTCGAGGTCATCAAACTCCCCTATTCGCTCAAACCTCCGGAGCAACAGGGCTCCCACAGCACTGAGGCGGTCTGCTCTACTGGGGTGATCTTTCGGTGTAGTGGCAAATGCCTCTTCGGTATGCATAATTGCATTCTGGAGGTCATCAAGCTCCCCTGTCCGGTTAAACCTCGAGGACAACTTGCCCGCCAAGTTACTGTGTCTACTTGCTCTATCGGGGCGATCTTTCGGTGTAACACCAAGTGCCTCTTCGCTATGCATAATGACTCTTTGGAGGTCTTCAAGATCCCCTATCTGCGCAAACCTTGTGGATAATACGGTTCCCAAATTCGCGTGGTGGGCTGCTCTCTTAGGGTGATCTTGAGGTGTAGAGGTAAGTGCCTCTTCGCAATGAATGATTGCTTTCCGGAGGTCTTCAAGCTCCCCTATCCGGTTGAACCTCGTGCATAATACGGTTCCCAAATTCGCCTGGTGGGCTGCTTTATCGGGGTGATCATTCGGTATAGTAGCCAGTGCCTCTTCGCTATGCATAATTGCTTTTTGGAGGCCATCAAGGTCCCCTATCCGGTCATACCTGGAGGACAACTTGCCCGCCAGGTTACCATTTCTAACCGCTCTATCGCGGTGATCTTTCGGTGCACGCGCCAGAGCCTCTTCGCTATGCATAATCGCGGTTTGGGGGTCTTCCGGCTCCCCTATCCTCTCAAACCTCGTGAGTAACATGCCTCCCAAATTTGTGTGGTGGGCTGCTTTATCAGGGTGATCTTTCGGCATAGTAGCCAGTGCCTCTTGAGTATGGATAATTGCTTTTTGGAGGTCATCAAGCTCCCCTCTCTGCTCAAACCTCGCAAAAAACATTCTTTGCAAATTCCTATGCATGTCTCTTCGACGCGGATGATCTTGAGGGGTAGCAGTAATCGCCTCTTGGCAGTGCTTAATCGCTTTTTGGAGGTCATCAACCTCCCGTATCTGCTCAAACCTGGTGGATAACATTACTCCCAAAATAGAGTGGTAGGCTGCTTTGTCGGGGTGATGATTCCGTGTAGCACCAAGTGCCTCTTCACTATGTCCGATGGCTTTTTGAAGGTCGCAAGGGTCGCCTGTCAGCTTGAACCACTCAGAGAACACAATTACGAGGTTGTTGTGGGTGGCCGCTCGATCAGGGGGGCGTTGAGGTGTTGTAGCCAGAGCCTATTTGCTGTGCCTAATCGCCTCTTCAAGGTCATGAGGTTCTCCTATCCTCTCAAACCTCGAAGTTAACATTATTCCCTGATTACTATGTATACCCCCTCAATGCGGATGGTCCTGAGGTGTAGTGGTAATTGCCTCTTCGCTGTATTTAATTGCTTTATTGAGGCCATCAGGCTCCCCTGTCCTCCTAAACTTCGAGAACAGCTCCCATCCCAAGTTACTCTGCCGAGCCGCTCTATCGGGATGATCTTGAGGTGATTCCCCAAGTGCCCGTTCGCTATGTTGGATTGCTTGTCGTAGATCATCAAGGTCCCCCATCCCCTCAAACTTCATATAGAAGCTAGCAGCCAATCTATTCTGCATTCCTGCTCTATCGGGGTCATCCCGTGGCATAGGATCAAGTGCCTGTTGTCTGTGCATGATGGCTTTTTCAAGATCACCTGGGTCTCCTATCCACTCAAATCCTGTCGTAAGCATAATACCCAGATTACTCTGTATTTCTCTGCTATCAAGGTGACCCTGTGATGTAGCAGCAAGTGCCTCTTCTGCATGCTGGATCGCCTTATGAAGGTCCTCGAGGTCTCCGATCCGCTCAAACCTTCTCAGAAACATGATTCCCAGGTTTCCCAGCGATTCGATATTACTGGGGCCTAGTGATGGGCACGATCATGATCGAGCAGATCATAGGTGTTCTGCTCGAGCATAATCTGATTGAGAGGACCCCATGATTGAATGATCGCGCAAATTGGGAGACCCTGATCGAGTGATCGAGTAGTGATCGCGCATACTTGAGTCTAGCTGATCATCATTTCCTTTTTTATGTAAAAATCTTGCCTTCAACCCCGGGTGCTCTGATGGAACACTTTGCAAGAGTGTTAGTCAAAGGCTATCCATGGGCCATTAAAGCAATATTGGGTAGCCGTTGTTGGTGGAATTCCAACCACTCGATAATATCTATATTCCGGTCTACCCCCGGCGCTTGGAAGTTGATATCAACTTGGAATTTCATGAGATCATTGTCTAGAGCAAGGGCATTTTAGACAAGCGAATTGGTGGGTCAGGGGTGTTGGGGGTTCGGTGGTGGTGTGCATTATCAGGGGCATGATATTGCGTGTGTGGTGCAGACAATGATTATATTAATAGATATCATGTCATTTCCAGGACAGATATATGTATAGGTATCGATAGAGTCATCGATCATGATTGATCACCATCGAACATGGTCGAGCAGTACCCCTACTCGAGCAACTCGAGCAGATCATGAGGGTCCTGCTCGACCATAATCTGATCGAGTAACCCCTATGATTGAGGGTGATCAAGCGTGACCCGCTCGAGCAAAACTCAATCATGATCTGATCGTGGCCATCACTACTGGGGCCGCGGGAACAACTCCTCTCCACTTTCTCCTCCATCAACTGGATAGCTTTATCCAAATCACATATGTCGCCTACCCTCCTAAATATTATTTCCAGCATGTCGCTCCAGCAATTGCGCAGACCCACCCGCGCATGGTTTCCTGGAAGCAATTCTGCTATCTTATTCTCCACCCGAATGATTGCCTCATCGACGTCGGCCACGTTGCCTAATCTGTCATATCTTGCCAACAATTGCGGAGCCGGCACTCCGTGCCTCCTGTGTGTATTCTCCAGCTGACGTCGTATAGTGAGGATGCTACTGCACGCCGTTATATGGGTAGCCTGGGCCCGCGGCGTTTTGTCCAATTCCTTTATTCCCCACACCCACCCCATGTCGAGATCCACCACATCTTCAGTGTGCTCAAATTTTCTCCCAAACATTTTCTTTAGCTTAGAAAGTAAAATGGAGCGACTAGGATAGTCGGAGTTCATTGCTGAAATTCCTCTTTCGGCGCGAGAAATTGCCTTCATGAGGACGTCGATATCGTCTGTTTTCTCGTATTGGGTAAAGCAGGCATCCGAGGCTTCCATATTGCCCTCGATATCTTCCCGCCACCTCTTCGTGTCGGCACTCTGGGCCGATTTCCCGATTCTAAGGTCCCCCTCTCGACTAGTTCTGGACACTCCCTCCATACTAGATACAACAATGCACATGGAATATGGAATCTTTATCAAGTATTTGGTTGATTCGCTCTTGTCCGATATCTTATCTTTCTAGAACCTAATGGGCGATTGAGAGGGGTTTCTTGGTGTATATAGTGGTGGACGAGGGGTTTCCGGGCTTGCGGGGATAAGATCGGTGGCTAATCATTTGACTTAGTACATTTTAGGACAGTATGAGTTTTGCTAATACGTACTGGAGACGGCCAACTGCCTAGACTTGCCAACGGCTTGCCACCTTTAAAGCTCCTTCAATCCGGGAGTCCACAGGGTATGCATGTCTGTGACAAATATGAATGGAAGCTGCGATGTGCGTCCCAACCTTCTTTCCTTCGAAGCCTTGTTCAGCAACTCGTGGATGCAGGATTCTGATATGGAAAGTGTTCAAAATTAGCGACTGGCCTGCTCAGCGTAGTTAGTGGGTCTGAATCTTACCCCTGTGCGCAGAGTGGGATTCCTTTCCTTCGTAGAACCTATCACTATGTCACGGCCCCTGTTTTTCGGCTCCTGCTTACTTTCTTGCTTTTGGACATATGTTTTAATTGGAGTGGGAAAGGGAGAAATTGCGTTTAAGTTGAGGAGTTGACGTCAGTTGCCGCGTGCTGGTTCTGTAATGCTTGAGCGAAAGCAATAGTGAGGATGCTGAATTATATAGAGCATGGATCTCCCCACTCTTCTTATATCAAAAATAGCAAGAGTCTGCGTGAGTATCCCTGCCGCAACCGATAGCTCTATGCCCCCCTCGTAGTACTAATTGAAGTGCCTCTGTAACTCACCCCACCCACTTTACCTGGTTCCTTGCATTTACTATTGTAGATGGTATGAGTCTGTGTGAAATCGAGGACAATTACTAAACCGCAGACTTTCTACCTAGGAAGGATCTTGGACCATCCCCACTTGATTAGTGCGCACGAACAGGGAGTATAACAGGAACAGCAAAACCAAGTTAGCCAAGACTCTAGCTGTGCGGAAAACCTCATCATCCCAAGGCTGAGCTTTGTCGAAATACCTCAGATGAAGTAGCTGGGAGTGTAATGACGATTTCACGAAGGTACAATTCCCGCAATCAACCAATCAACCCACCTGATATATGGCCGATATCCTCCCCGTACTATACTGGGACAATTATTAAGAAATATACTCCCTGATATGATACTCTCGCAGATAGTGTCACAAATTCTTTACTTGATTCTGTTGAAAAGCACCGGGACTCATGCTATTCTGTGTGGGGAGGGTAGTTTATAGGTTTCACACTAGCAGAGATTTTCCCTGCTAGTGGTTCTAGTTTGTTGCATCTGATGTTTCGGGCTGTAACAGAAAGAAGGGAGCAAAAGAGGATACGATATGGGCTGTTAGTATTCGGGAGTCTTCGGTCATCCACGGTAAATTGGCTGGCCATTGGGAGGACGCATGGAAATAGGCTGGACCTCGGTGAAGGATGGACCTCGGTGATGGATGGAGTATGGTAGGGGGATAGTTCCTCTCAAAAAGATCTCGTCTATGAAAGGGAAGCTGGATTGGTCTATATAAAGCCCCTATTGTCTATAAATAGAAAAGGTAAGGCAAGGCAATCTATCAATCGTGTTTACTTCCACTGACTTTGTTCTCTCCAAACCTCTCTCCTGCTAGTACATCCCCCGCACCTCATAACAAAAGGTTATGAGCCCAGTTAGCACTACCATACTTCGCTGCTAAGACTTCCTTTACGATACAACAACTTCCATCACAGTCCCACCTACAATGTCTACCACACCACTGACAACGACAAACTCCTCAGCACTGACGTCCCTCACCCAGTCGATCGAGAAGCTAGATGGATCCCTAGCGAGTGGCCGTAGCAACTATCACGCCTGGAAGTTTAGAATCGTCCATGTACTTAAGTAAAAGGGTTTATACCAGGTAGTGGTGGAGGACATTGACAAAGATAATCCTGAGGATGTACTAAAAGACAACCAAGCGTTTACAATTATTACCCTAAACATCAAGGATTCCCAGAGCACTCACATGCAAGATTGCGACAGCGCAGTATCAGCCTGGGAGGCACTACGAGTTGTGCACCAAGGCATTGGCGCCAACGGCAGAATGGTTCTAATGCAACGCTTATGGGCTCTTCGGATGCGGGAGCAGGATGATATGGCTGATCATCTAAACCGCTTTAGGGAATTGGCAAACCAGATCGAAGACTTGTCCTCTGAAGGAAAAGCAATGGATGAGAGTGAATTAGTAACCTTGTTAACTCTTAGTTTGCCAGCATCATATGAGCCATTGGTAATGGACATCCAATCACGAAGTGATGATGTTGACTTTGATACATTTGCTCGACACCTGTTGCAGGAATCAGCAAGGCGACAAGTGGCACAAGGGAATTTAGAGTCAAATGGCCATCGGGCCTCACCTCCAACAGCATTTGTGGCACAGCTGCCCATGCAGAAAGGACGGAATCGATATGGCAACAGGATGCATCAGGTTTCCATGGGTCCTTCAAGGCAAGGTGCCAGTAACCGTGGGTTCAGGACTGTAGGACAGTTTGAGAAGAATCCAGGACAGAGAAAGGCAAAAGGAAGGTGTTTTTATTGCCAACGTGAGGGACATTGGAAACGTGACTGCCTGAGGTGAAAGGCAGAGGAAGGAAAAGAATCTCCTGAACAGCGACTCGGTGAAGAGAGCCGAGGGTATGCATTTACCGGAGCAGAGCTTGGACAAAGCCGGACTGATCCTGGGAGGTGG